TTCATACAGACAACATATACTTTTGCTCCCTCCTTTTCTGTTGTCTGCTCACCCATTCCGTCAAGCAGTCCCTAACAGATGGGCAATCTGTTAAAGGTGAAGACTTTTTAAAAAATGGTCCTCTGAAAGATACAGCAAACTCAAACCTATGCTTGCATACAAGTGAATGTGCTCCAACCACTTTGTGCCTTTAGTTTTACTCAGGGGCAAGTGATTTGAGGAGGACAGCATAGGTTAAGACATGCCTTCTTGACAAATAAGTCCCAAACATACAGAACATTACAAAGGGATCTAACAGACGTGAACACAGATTTAACTGAGATCAGAATTACAGCAAGAGTAGCATCTGGACCTGCAGGTGTTTCTGGCTACAAGTCCCATCAACCTCATCCAGCAGTCAGTGCCAAGGGAATGATGGAAGCTAAATGAGACCCAAGCTTCTGAAGGACCAAAGGTTTACTTTGCTGGAATTAGAGCATTCTGCGATGCCCAAGACCTCCCAGCAGATGGAAAACATTCCAAAAATTATAGTCCGTATTCATGGATATTCTTTGAGCATTCCAAACGTTTGCAGGCTTCCAGTTCTTCCCCAGTTTGGGGGGGGGGGGACAGATTTACTACAAACTTCTGACTTCTCCAGCTCCAATGAATTCAGACAGTGTAATGCTTTTGTTGAGAGGAGATAATAAATTCTCCAGTGGTACTTCAGTAGCATCTACCTCAGCAAACCTCACTTGGTTACAGATATCCCAGTTAATCTAAAATTAACTTGCTGGGGTTGCATTGATCATGTGAACTGCTTGTTTATTTTTACCAAAACATTTATGCTGCACCACGGTTTTGGCTGGCCATAGAATTTAGTTTGTACTCGATTAGCTGTCCAGCAGTGAACAAATATTTGCTTTAATTTAAAAAACGGTTACTGGGTTTTTCAGACAGAAGTGAGAGTTTCTCCCTCTCGCCAACCTTCACCAATGTTGCAGACACGTAGGGAAAAATATTCTTCACAGTTAATTTACAGTTCAGTACTTTGTAGATACAGTTTCATAATGTTTGACATCTATTATAATCATGACATAGAAAATACTTTTTAGATCACCAGGGACAAAAAATAAATATTGATTTGGAGGATTTAGGGGAGGTGTGTGAAAAATAAAGCAACTTTTAAAAAATGTAAATATCCCCATGATGGACTTTCTTTCAAAAATACTTGTAAGAAAATATCTTTTTACAGCCACTTGTTATATAGTGAAATAAATGTTTGCTCTGGTACAAAATTTGGGATCAGAATTATTTATAACTAAATATCAACTCTTGAGCCAGAGTATCATTTGCTGAATTTTGCAGGAGAAACACCTCCTTGGCTTTTAATAGCCACTCTTAAGATGAATTTCAGCAGATAACACTCCTTCTCTCTGCCTTACTTTGCAGTAATGGAAGAAGTTATGCTCGTCAAAGTTCTCCCTCCTACAGAACCTGAAGATATTTCAGTCTGAAAGCACAGCTTCATGTTTCATGGGAAACATGGGTCTGTGAATCCGAGGCTGGTGCTTTTTCCATCAAGGAAAGCCATGCAGAGGGAAGATTTAAAGAAGTAAAAGAGCTACATGAAAGCTTAACCCTTCTCTATTGGTCCTGCAAAACAATTCTGAAGGGGACGCAGAGAGAAAGCACTTGCATATATTTAACATCCACTCCTACCACTTTCCCCCCTTTAAGTCAAGTCCTACATCTATGTGCTTTCCCATTGCAACAACATGCAGGTTCTCAGAGAAGCACTGGCTACTCAATATAAAATTCATCTTGAAATCAAAAATAACTTAGGTACCCCTAAAACATATTCTTCAACAAGAGGAGAAGGGAAGACACCCACTTATTTCTGAATCATGTCTTCATCCTATTTGGGCATAAAATCATAGGAGGCTACTCAAGTGCTCTTCACAATCAGTTTCCATTTACTCCCATGCCATCCCAACACAGTGGAAAGCTTGGAAAAGTTGCTTTTCTGGATTACAACTCCAAAAATCTTCCAACAGGCATGCTGGGAGAATTCTGGGAGCTGTTCAAAAAAACTAAGTTTTCCAAGCTCCCTTTGCAGTGAATACAGGGAGCAAACTCAAGAGTTCACATACCTGATGAAACTATATTAATGTAGGCTCGTATGTCAATAACATGTTTTAGCAGTGTGTTTGCTGAAATAATCACATCAGACACATTCAGTTCTCACTTTTTAGAAAAAAACACAATGGTGCATAACTGCTTAATAATCACAATATGGAGTGCATGACTTGGACAGCCTATTCAGTCTGTTGCCTTCTTGAGACAATTCTGTGACCTTCCATTATCTTAAAGCTGGAAAGCTCAGCAACAAAACTACATCACACTTTCTGTATTGTTATTTACCTCCTGCCTGAAAAGTAAATAGCAATGGGTTCACAGCCCAGTTAACCTAAAGTTCCTGAAATTAAACCCTGCTTGGCTGGAGATTCAACAATCAAACAAAAATTGCAACTTATGGATGTTGTTTAGACGTCCGGCAGGATGAAGCAGCAAGTTCCCCCCCCCCCACCTTCCTGAACTGTACCATTTCAAGCAACAGGTGAAGGAACGAGACAAGCACATGTCTGAGTCTCCCCAGTGAATGTGCTGTGTGCAGAGAAATTGGTGCAGGTGGAAGTGCTCACATTATATTTCTTCCTGGCATGGACTTTTCTTAGCAAAGCAAGAATTTGCATATGCGTGCACTTGCGTGGGTGGAGGCTCGTTCTCTCCTTGCTGTCTAAAGTGGGGCAGGCCAGGAGAAGACTTACCACTTAATTCTCAAGAAAACAAACAAACAAAAAATTAGTCCTCACTCTGAGATGCTGATTTAGTCATTTGCTTCAAGTAACATTAACTCCTTCAATACCTCAGAACAAGGAGTCTTGGACTATGCAGTCTGGGACTCCTTGTGAGAGCACAGATTAAGCTGATTTAAGACTTAACCTGTTTCTGGATCTATCCAGGCACCATTGCAATGCAACCGCTGTCTCTGAGAATGGCTTGAACGTGAAGCAATAGAAGAAGTAAAAGAACTCGTCACCCACCAACCACTATCCACATGCTATTGATTCCACCATGGAGCAATACTTGAAACTCACTTGCATTTCAGAAAAGCCACAACCCTTAAAGTCACTTACTCTGGAGTGGACCTTGATGCCTTCTACAGAAATAAAACCAGAACACCGTCTCCATAGACTGCTGCCACCTGCAGCAATTATGCTAAAGTTAGTGCTCTTGATTGACAAATAGCTTCCTAATCTTGTTATAGTGAAGTGATAAGAGTTCTCAGCATGAAGTAGTGAAGAAAACAATTGCCTGGAAGTTGGAGATGGAGGAACACAAGACATCCATACACGTTATGTTGCTTAAATACACAAAATACTGTCCCTTCCAAATACTAATTTCTACAACTTATGTCAGACTTCAGGATCATTGAGAAATCACCTATTTTCTTCCTGTTCAGAGAGTGAGAAACTTAACAACCCATTCAGGTGAAGAGAACACACATACAGAAGCGCTGACATTTCTATTCACTGAAATCTGCAAATTGAGATTCAACTGACAGCAAGAAAACAACCCATCAAGCGTGGCTCCTACATAAACCTCACCTAAATGAAAAGGCTCCCCCCCCCACCCACAGAATCAGAGCCTCCTGACCGTACCACCAGCAAACAAGGGAAGTTCTACTCTTCTCCTGAGCTACTGACAAAACTAGTCAAGTGAGTCTTAATCAGATCCATTGCCAAAAGGAGAACGTTTGCTCCCTCTTTCTTTTCCTAGTAATAATGTTCCACGAAAATAAAAGCTGTGAAGAGAACTGAATTGCTGGAGAAGACAGATATTCCTATCACGAAAATGCACAGTAGCTTTGTACCAAGCCTTATGATTCCTAACGTCTCTCTCCCAACTCTATTCAAAAAGGGAAAAATTCTCCTACATTGTGCAGCAGATACAAGTGAAGTACAAAGCCAGAGGGGGGAAAAAAACTTGCTGAAGTAAGTAGCTTTCCTGGAATCCTGAAATCAATAATTCTACAAAGAATGAAAATTACATACAAAACTTAATGAGACAACACATTTGTTCCTAATTCAGCAACCACCTGATTCCCCAGAGGAGTTGTCAGAGCATGTCTGCATTGCAAACCAGCTTCACTGTCGTGAATTTTGACAATTTGGGCTCTCTACACCAAAAAAAAGGAGATTCTAAAAGAAAGCAGCTTTGGAGAAACCAGGCTGTTAAGACAGTTCAGAACTAACACATAATTCGCAGTGATACAGATGTGCCAGGACAGTCTTTGGATTTGAAGCAAATCAATGCTCTGTAACTAACAGTGCTAAATGGATTTCTCTCTCTCCCACCTTCCAAGTATTCTGAAATAATTTACAGCCTAGCTTGCATGATACTTGAAGTTGGTGGGCGCAGATCAGCTCAACTCTACAGTAAAAAGAAAAAAAGAAAGAGAGAGAGAGAGAGAGAGAACGTGCAAGTTGTTTCAATAGCATCTGAAGGAAAACTAAAACGCGCAGATCAGCTCAACTCTACAGTAAAAAAAAAAGAAAGAGAGAGAGAGAACGTGTAAGTTGTTTCAATAGCATCGGAAGGAAAACTAAAATGAAACTTTCATTCCATTCTAGCTTGGAGTTCCTCTTCTATTAAGAGATTTTAGACCGCTCAGCTTCTAGCTTGGAGTTCCTCTTCTATTAAGAAATTTTAGACTGCTCAGAAAAAAAAAAGAGGCACAGGGCTCCTACTTGAAGTTGGTGGGCGCAGATCAGCTCAACTCTACAGTAAAAAGAAAAAAAGAAAGAGAGAGAGAGAGAGAGAGAACGTGCAAGTTGTTTCAATAGCATCTGAAGGAAAACTAAAACGAAACTTTCATTCCATTCTAGCTTGGAGTTCCTCTTCTATTAAGAGATTTTAGACCGCTCAGCAAAAGAAAAAAAAAGAAAAAAGAAAAAAAAAGAAAAAAAAAAGAGGCACAGGGCTCTTAGAGCCTCCTGAGTTTGCAGAGAACATCTGGAGAGGCAGTGTATACCTTCACATCACATCTTCCCCAAGTTGTTTTGCATGATCGAAAACAGCCAGCACAAACAAACCAACCCAATTACATACACTTAACAGAGTTTTGGCCATTAAATCCTTGGAGGGACGGGGGGGGGAGGGAGAGCAGTGAGGCTGGAAGGTCCCCATGGAGGTCACAGCTAATAAACTTAAGTAAATAAATTCCACAGATGCCAATGCAAACGAGAAGACAGAAGTGTTGGGGGTGGGAAAGAAAAGGGGGAGCCTCCCAGACACTCAATTTAATCATGTAGTTGAAAGCTTCCAGGCCTCATCCAATTTAGAGCAGTGGAAACTTGAGAAAGAGGTTTGGGAGGGGAAATTATGCATAAACAGAGAGTTACGAAGCTCTCCCTGAGTTTTAATGCTCAGCAAATAAAAGTTGCTGGTACTACTGAGCACTGAAGGGGTTAAGTGCTCAAGCGCTGACACTTAATCAGCTCCCCCCCAACCTTCCCTTCACATGTGATTGGAGTGAAGCTGCACTGAAGCAGCCCAAAGGGCTTGCAACAGCTCAATTTCGCTGCCTTCAGTTTTAATCCCCATCACCCAGGCTAAGCAGCCCGCTTGTGCAAGAGAGCAGCTACTCTGGAGCCGTCCGGGCAGCTGGCTCATTGTTCTCCTCCTCTTCTGCATCAGCTGCCTGAAGATGGCTGGAAAGTTCTTGGAAGACCGCCATCTTCCCTATCTGGTCGTTCCTCCTCTTCTCCATGATGAGATCTTCCAGGCTTTGGAACTCCAGCGTGTGGCTGCGTTTCTCCCCTAACAGGATCTGCAACCGGTAGGGTTGCTTGCCGATGCGCAGCTCGCCACCAATCTTGAACTCGCGCTTGCCATAACGGCACCAAGCTGCAAAACACTCCGAGTTCCTCCAACTTAGCTCCTGATCCTTGCAACCCACTTGGTCCAAGGCATTCCGCACCACCGTGGCGGGACTCAGAGGTTTGTAACGGTACAACTGGTTAGCGATGCGGCCCCTCCGGCCCTGGCTGGCGTCCGTCAGAAAGCTGTTCACAATTTCCAATCTATGGAGATGCACCACCTGAAAATCCCCTACGTACACCACCCAATGGGGATACTGGGCCTGGCACACAAACTCTACCAGATCACCAGGTTTACATTTGTTCAACAGATTTTCAGGTGTGTATGTAGCAAGATGGCCCCCTCCATCACCATCCTCATCGGGTAACGTATCCTCTCCGGAAAAGCTTTTCTGATAAATGCACTCATCGCGGTAATAGACCGAACATTCCACTTCATGCAGCCGGGGGTCATATGGCTGTGGTGCAGGATGTTCTCCACCAAGGTCTGCTACCACCGAGTCCTGCTGTGGCTCCACATCATCATCATCATTGGAAAATATGTAGGAGACCCCAATCCTGGGACCTTCATCTCTGTCCATCCCTGTTGGGTCAGTCGTAGGAACCTCCTTGTAGTTCAAGTGGGTGAGTTTCTCCACCTGATTCCCCATGCCTGCTGGAGTAGAACCAAGGTAGACATTAGCACAGCTATAAATACACAGATGAAAAAAATAATAACTGCAGACTTTTTGAAGTTCATCTTGGACCTCTGAATTCCCCACTAAATTACAAGAATACACTAATATAGTTAGGCCTCAACAAATCACTAAAGACCAAGCTACATGTTACACAGCGCAATGTGTAACTTTGCCCTCCCGTTTATTTTTCTTAATAGAAAGCTGCCAGTGGATGTCTAGAACACTGGTTCTTAACCTTGGGTTACTCAGAAGTTTTGGACTGCAACTCCCAGAAGCCTTCATCACCAGCTGTGCTGGCTGGGGTTTCTGGGAGTTGCAGTTCAAAAGCATCTGAGTAACAAAGGTTAAGAACCACTGTTCTAGAATTACACGATCTTCAGGTGGAAGGGGAAAACCATTATATCATCACTCAGGACTGAGCTTAGCAGCTTTGGAGAGTGGTAAGGCAGCTGGCAGAAAACAAATTTAAGTAACCTCTCCCACAGTCCTCCAGTAACACTGAGCTTCCCACAACTGCTTCTCATTTAAAACTGAAACACATGCTGACATTTTAGCCGTTATTCCAGGAAAAAACCCAACTGCCGCTAGTTCTAAGTTATCACAATACTGTATTATAATAAGGTGATGAAGTTCACAGCTTGACAGAATACAGACTATGATGTCTCATTTGTCTTGAGATAAATCTCATTGGCTTATGTCCTGCTACTTAGAGTAGTAAGGCACACTACAGCAGGTCCACTGGATCGGTGGGAATCTGGTGAGTAAATTCCTCTAAGTTTCACTGATTCAAATGGGCTTCCTCTTGTTGTAATTTATTATGCTAAAGTTAGGCCTGTTTGAATGGTGGAACTTACAGAGCAGTAGCTTCACCAAACTCCTACTGTTCTAATGGGCCTACTCCAGTGCAACGTACTGTACTAAGCAACAGGGTTTCAGCCACGGAGTTCCATGGGACTCAAGTTGGAGAAGACATGAATAGCACTGCATTTACCACTGCCCAAAATCCAAGCAGAAGTTCATTAGTAATCCACTTTGGGCAACTACCTGCCCTATATTTTCTGCATGGAACTTACAACATCCTTATTCCCATCAAAGGTAAGGTCAGTTATCATTATCCCCATTTTGCAGAATGGAACTGAAGCTGAGAGGCAACAACTATTCTCAGTCCAGCACTACAACATGAAATGGCTAGATTTCCCCCTCAACACACTCACCTGCTTTGGAAATACACTTGCCACAGAAGTCAGAGTGGGGAGTGGGAAAGAAGGCTGGATACAATAAACTCTGAGTAGAAGGAAGGAAGGAAGGAAGGAAAGAAAAAAAGAAAGAAAGAAAGAGGAGGAAATATGTATGTTGGGGGGGGTCGCAGCAGGCAAGAGGGGAATTTAACTCATCTCCAGCTACTTTCCTGGGGAAAATTGTTCTTTTTGGAACTGATATTTCTTTTAGAGGGCAGAGTCTACCAAATACAAATTTGGATCGATTTCCCCTGTGGAGACCCAAGGAAAGCCTCGAGAGGAAATAAACTATAGTTAAAAGGTGTACTGAGGGAACTGCACTCCATTTGTAGGAAACCAATTTCAGCTCTGTCCTTTAACCTGCATGGTAAAGCGGCATCCAGGTTGTTCTCCCCCCCCCCCCCCGGTCTTTCATTAGCTGGACACAGTGTGAAGAGCTGGCACAAAAAGGGATCAGCAGAGTTGCTACTGACAAAGACAGGGAAGGGAGGGGGTTGCATTCCACCAAGCCTCCCATGTGCAGGACAAGAACCTATGACGCTGAAGGCCATGCTCACTTTGTAGCAAACAAAAAAGTTCAGATATACAGCAGGAATTGTAGAAGATGCTGCAACAGGAAGGAGTAGGCAACATTGCCTGTCCGAGGGTGGTGAAGGTAGAAAAAAAGCCAAACCAATGTGCTGATGGGAAACTTTTAGGATTTATTCTCTACTCCCCATGTACCACCAGCAATCTCTGGTCACTGTTGCAGTAATGATGTGGGACAACAGTGGTAGTTTATTCCAGGTTTATGACACCATATTGGTTTCTATGTTATATCATGGAACAATGTGAGTGAAATGTCAGGTCCGTACAGCTAAGCATTAGACAGACAAACTGGATTTAGATGGGGAGGAAGACAACTCAGGAAAGGGGGGGGGGAAGGGAAGAGAGGATGCCAAGACATTAGAGATAGCAATTTCTGAACAAATGGAATTCTGGCCAAGAGCACAATGCCACATGCACGCCTCAACCTGCCTCCCCAGCATCACAGAACATGTTGCTCCAAATTTCCATTAAAAAACGTAATATAAAGTCCAGGCAGGGGGCTTCAGAGCAGGTCTAGAAAACAAAAAAAATTATGTGCATCACCAAAACTCAAGCACCAGACACGCAGCCAGACAGAACAATCTGTTTAGACTGCAACAGCTCCTTATAACCTTCACATATGGTGGCTCTAACTAAGGACTCAAGACATCCAAGGAGGCCTGGTGATCCTTAAAATTCCCCAGCACACTGGAGAAAACCACCTAATTACACAGACAGAACCAAGGCAAGAGCCGTAAGGCTGTAATAAGTCTCACGCCTATTGTCTCAGGACCCCAGCAGGCCTTAATCCTGCATCAACACACTTAAAGTTGCTGTTGCTGGGTCACATCACACCTGTCTTGTTCAAATCACTGGATCCACTCAATCCTATGAGGCAGCAAGGAAACATAGAAACAAGCCTGTTACATTTGCAACGTGTCTGATCAAAGGGGAAATCATAGATTTGGAAAGCTCGTGATCTACGCAGAGGACCGGCAGAGTCTTACTGGACCAAACCAAAATGCCCCTTGGTTCCCACATCCTGGCTCCACCAATGGACAGTCAGTAGTTAGTGGAAAGAGGATGAACAGAGCATTAAAAAGAAACTAACAATAACTGGTGATAATAACTCCCAGAAACTTTAAGGTTCTGTGTTTCTAGAACACTTCCCAAATGTTCAAGCCACTCCACAGAGTCGTTTTTCTGATATCAAAACCAATCCAGCAAGGTAGACCATTATTGTTGCTAGTCTATTATTACCGCACCGATAAAAGGCTGGTGTTGACGATGCCTGCCTAAAGCCACCCAAGCCGGTGAACTTCCACTAGAGGAAGTGTAAAATTCTGTGACGTCTCACAACAGGTAATGTGTGCAAATACATTCGGTCTGATTGCACGCCAACCAGGAAGACGAGTTAAGTTTCAAAGAGAGGCTCCTGCTCCTTACAACTGCAGGAAACCACTCTAAGCTCTCTCTACGTTGATTTTTAAAAAAAGTTAAAAGGGGAAAACCTGAGACCGGTTCTCCTCCTAAACTGATTTGGGAATTTCCCCCCCCCCCGAAATGCAGCCCTTTAAGTATCAGTCCAGCTGTAGATGAGCTTTGCTCAGCAGGCACTGCCATCTAGGGAAGAGTGTGTGTGTGTGTTTCACGGGTGTGTGTGTGGAGACAGAGGGACACACACACACACACACACACGAATAATTTTAAAGACACAGCTCCCCATTTTCCACAGGGGAACCTTTTCCGCTGTTGCTGCTTTCCAAGCAACAAAACAGAATCGAACCCGACACCTTTCAAACGAACTCAGGTATTTACAGGACCAGCGGTCGCAACTTATGGCCCATTTCACCCGCCTTGTGAAATCACCCCATCGCCGTTTGAGTAATTTGTGCATCTCTTATTTTGGATAAACTTTCAAGGGTGGCCGGGTTTTTTTTTCTCCCCCTCCACCTCCCACCGCTCACGGATCCGAACCTTCTCCGCACACCTTGCGACGAAGTTTCCCTTTCTTTTTCTCTCTCCTCCGCCTGCCCCCCTCTTTCTTACTTTCCGAGACGGGCTGGCGCCAGCCACCGAGAAGGCTCAGGTACGGCCGCGCCGGCTC